ATTCTTAAACCTCCCTGGAACAAAGCAACCCAAGCTGTTGAACCAGAAGGATGTAGGAGAATGACGGTGTAGCCTTCAGGGCCACATGCTCCGTGGGCTCTGCCCCTAAGCTGCACACTTTGTCCCCAGCGAATGTGGTGTGAGGCAGCCTCAGGCAAGCAGTGAGAACCTGAGACATCCTCACCACAGTCAGCAAATCTCAGTGAAATGCCACCTACTTTCCCAAATTTTATCATTCTTATAATGACGACTGGGTGGGCCAGCACCACTGCCTTTCAGCACACGGACATAATGAACATCTTTCTAGTTCCAAGGGTGTCACTGACCCACTCGGAGAGAACCCAGCTTTGCACTGGGTGCCGGGGGGAGTAAAAGGCAGACCCCTGCTCAGTACCAGAGCCGACGGCATGTTCCAGGGCCACGACCCTGACTCTGCACTGGTGTGAATCGGCTGAGCTCTACGCTCTGTGACCTGTGGAGACACTGTGCTCATGTGTTTGTGGTGGGCCACGCCAGAGACAGCCACGTGCCCCGACATACTGCTGAAAGGGGAGAGGGCGGCTGTCTGGCCGCCCAAGCTAACCCATAAAAGATTCATCCGTGCCCTGCAGGCCACCAACGTTTGGCACCAGTGGGCCACGGGCCTGGTTTGGGGTCAGACCTGCATTTCCACTCCCGCTACATGGCATCATGGCCTCTGCCGTGCCCCCTGGTGGATGCAGCTGCCAACCTGAGGCCCTGGATGAGGGTCTGATGGAGCCCAGGAGTTCTGACCAAATGACACATTGCCCCAGCAGTTAACGCTCCTCCGCACCCCTACAAGCAGCTCTCTGGTTTCACAGCCCCGTCTGGACAACCCTGGAGCCCAAGATGCCACAGAGAGTGAGCAGGTGAGACTGTGGGCAGGACAGAGCATGCTGTGGCCATTTCGTGAAACAAGGAGTTGGCACTTGGCCATGGTGTCCAAACTCAACCTCGGCCTAGCTGCCCACTCTTACGTCTGCACTGACCAAAGCCACCAGAGTGCCAGGGCCTCCCACCAGGGCTCTCTGCTTGCTGGACCCCACACAGGCCAGAACCCTCCTGACAGGACCCCAATCTGCAAAGTTAAAGGGCTGCCCGGGAAAGGGCCAGGCCCGGGGGTCGCGTTTCAATGGACTATAAATTATTCACAAGCACCAGCCTTCTGCCACGGGCTAGATACTATCGGGAGAGTTATTTTGGTAACTTGGTAAACAGAGCTGACTTCCTTGACCTGGGGTTGGGGGTCAGACTTCGGCCTCGACAAGCTTGACGTGCCCTGCAAGGTAGGAGGCCCCATTGGGGCTGCAGACTTCTCCCAGGCCTGGGCCACCATCCACCACTAGGAGGGCTTAGGTGCCTCGAACACACCAGGATGCAGCTCCAAGGATGGGAGGCTGGACGGCAAGGACACAAAGCCATGGCAGGGCCTGTGACCAGTGACCAGGCACAGAAGGCAGGAAGGCAGAAAGGGGATGCATCAGAAAACATGAGGCAGCAAGAGAAATTGCTGGGCCAGGTAGCTCCGGCACTGGGAGAGCTGGTCCCTCCTCTGCCATGCTGGGGCTCAGGCCTCTCTAGGGGGCATGGCCTCTGATTGGGCCTCAGAGCTTCCCACCTGGAAAGACTATCCAAGTCACCTGTTGTCTTGAGGGAAGGAAGAGCTGCCGAGTCCCGGCAAAGTGCAGTCGCTGGATGCCAGGCAGAGGCCCACACCACACCCCACACTCAGGCCCACCAGGGCCCTGGAGTTGGGGTGAGGGACCTCACAGTTGGGAGTCACTAAGATACAACCAGACTGTGTACAGGTCATGTCCACTGGGGCTACCAGGACCCACCTGGACTCTCTGAGCTACCCAGAGCCACCCAACAGGCATCCCTCCTGGCCCTCCCTAGGATCTCACTTTTGTACAACAAATTATTTCTGTGCCAACCTGCTGCTATTCCTGTGATACCAGCATTCTCACAACATGGGCAACGCTGACGGGAGCCTCAGTGTGGGCAACCCAGGAGTCACCATGGTGCAGCTGAGCCTGGGGAGTCATCCCCTAGTATGAGAAACACAGAATTCCCCCAGGAGAAGTGCCCAGAGACCCCTGTCCCTGGGGAAGGGAGCTAGCCAGAGCACCACACTGCCAGGAGGAAAGGCCCTTGTACCCGAGGGAAGGGGTCCTCCACACTAGATCCATCTCTAGTCACAACACCAGCCACGAGATCTTCCAAGCCTCAGTGTCCCCAAATAAAGCCGAGCACTGGACGCTGAGTCTAGAGTCCACCCACAGAGGAGGGGCATGCTGGGTTAGGGCCGCCCAGCTGCCAAGGGAGGGACCAGACTGTGACCGTGTGGGCTCCTGCCCAGTTCCTCCTCCACTTACCCCATGTCCTCATGGGCTCTACGAGGGTTTGCCCATCCCACAGAAGACAGCAGCCTTGACTTATGGACAAACTTCCAGAAATATGGAGGAAAATGTGGTTGGCTCTATATAGTAAAGAGAACAGCATTTAATGCCACCCTGCTGACAGCTCAGTGCTTAAGGCCCACAGCAGGGTCCTGGGAGCCGCCCTTCTCCCGATGCACGGCTGCTCTGCAGCCTCCCCTGTGTGCACTTCTCAACCACTTTGGCGAAAATCATTTCTGGAAAGGGAGAGGACTTGGGTGTCAAAGGATATGCAAAAATAACCCAACGACACAGAGTGAAATGTGTGGTTACTGAGCTTCCACAAAGACTGAGCTTTCTGTTTTCATTGTTTTATAATTATATGCAAGTTCTATTTTTATCCAATCTGCGGTCCACCAACCAAAAGGGAACACAAATCCCCCAAAACCCCTGTTTTTACCTCCTTACCTCACACTGTGCAGATATAAATTCGCTCTGCCACAGGTACATCAGAAAACTCTCTGAATTACTAATTGCTCACAAATGGCAAATGCTGACAGGTCCTGACAGTTTCTGCTCAGGAGTCTGTTTTCTTTAAGCCTTTTAACTGTAAGGGGGTGTTTGTTCCTCCAGCCTGTCCCATGTTGCTGCAGTCCACCACATGTTACCATTTGATTTTGAGTAATTTTTGAGAACACATTTTAAAGACACTGTAAATTATCATTTCAAGTTTCATAAATCCTCCAAAATGTCTCAGTCTTCCACTTTGCCTATGTGGACAGATTAATGCTGCCCCACACCCAAGGAACCCGGACAACAGAAATAGAAACCCAGCTCTGTGGGCACATGGGGCTCGTGGGGCAGGGGGCACAGGCTGGGTCCTCAGAGCCCACACAGGTGCCAGCGGCCGGCAGCAGGTGGGTGGGAAGGGATCTTCTCTCTACTCCCCACCCTGTCTTATCTTCCAAACAGTGACCCTGATTCTCATAGCCACCCCCCATCACATGTGCTGGGAGATGGGTGCTAGCCCACGCTCCAGATCCCAGGGAGGCGGGAGTTCATCACGGCCTCACAGATGTGACCACAGGAAGCAGGTTCAGCCGTTACTTCTCCAGTGCTCCATTCCCTCTCCCCTTTCCATTCAGCACTGACACGCCTTCATTCAGCAAAAACCACAGTGAGAGAGGGACTTAAGTACCTGCAGTTACTTAGCCAACTAAGCACAGGCATTACTGGACTGTTTTCCACATAGGAAGGTGGGAACATTAAATGTCAAACTGGCCACTGTGTGCCCCCATGGATCCTCATCTCCTCTAATCAAGCAGCCAAGAAAGCAGGTATTAACTGGCGTTGTGCACACAGGCCACAAGCACCAGCTCAGCACCACCCACAAGTGCCCACTAGAGAGCTGCGCACCCGCACCAGCCTGCTGAGCCCACACGGCTGTCAATGGCAAACAGGCCTTTGTCTCCGTAGCTGCCTCCCTCAAAACCTTCCCACTTACCTCAACAGAGCAAAACAGAAAGGCAGGCGACTGAGCACCCTACCAGATGCATCATTCTGTAAATAGTGTGGGGAGGTGCACTGGGGAAACGCTCCCCCAAATCAGTAGGGCTGGAGCCCTGGGTCAGGGGGGTCAGACAGCACATCCTGGGCGGGCTCTGAGGCTTGCATGCTGACAGCAGCCTGGACCTCACAGTGAGGCCAAGGGGACTAAAGGGCCAATGCTGCCAATGTCCAGCCTGACCACTGCCCATAATACTCTTTTTTTTTTTTTTTTAAACTGTTGTCACCCTCGGTGGAGTGCCATAGCATCACAGGTCACAGTAACCTCCAGCTCTTGGGCTTAGGCGGTTCTCTTGCTTCGGCCTCCCGAGTATCTGGGACTATAGCTGCCCGCCATAACACAGTTATGGTACATGGGGCAGTTTGGTACATGGGGCTGGCAGTCTACTCACTAAGCCACAGGTGCCGCCCACAACACTCTTGACATTGCATGTCCTTTCCTTGGGTGTGGTCAAGGTTAGAGAACAGCACACCCAGAATCCCACCAGGCGCTGAGCCCAATGGGATGCTGTGACCGCAGGTGCCACATGCCTGAGAATAACCCTCAGGCAGTCCCTGGCCTTAACTATGCCCATATATCACTCTAGGACTCAACACCCACAGAGTCTGGGATTTGTCAGGGCTGGGTGGGCCTCCGAGTCGACATGTCCCAGGAATTCCTGGGTGAGACTGGTGCTACAAGTGAGAACTGCTGCCTCACAGGCTCACAGGCTCAGGGAAAGGGTGAACCATTCAAAATGCCCAAGTCACAGGCAGGCTGCGTAGTGGGGGACCTGCTCTGGGCAAGTCTCTCAAAACAAGAAAAGTGCTGAGCTGCAGAAAGGGCCGCAGAATGTCCCCACCCTGGGCCGCACACATTGAGGAACCACCCCCCATACCTGTGGTAGCAACATTGAGCTAATCAGTTGGAAGATGATAGTTAAAAAAAAAAAAAACAGGAGAAAATCACTGTTAGACGGAGCTCTAGAGTTGCCTTTTGGACCAAAAAAGCATAACATCATATACTAAGTTGGTGAGTCACAGTGGCCCCAGTACCTGCACCACTGGGTGTCCTCCAGCCGATGCCTTCACAGCCCCCCGGCTGCCCTCCGTCTCGTAGTGGGCTCTGTGGTGGGACTTGGGCTGCACCTCGATCCGAAGCTCGTAGGGGCCCGAGTGGGATGGCAGCTGCCAGTCGAGGGCTGGCAGAGATGGGCTGAAACGGAAACAGAGGTGGTCAGGGACAGACTCAGGGGTCCAGCACTGTGCTCTGGGGCCACAATGGCGGCTCATACTCTCTATCAATAGACGATGTCCTGACATGGTGACTTCACAGCTATGGAAAGCCCAGGGTCACATACTATGACCTGTAGTCAGGGCCTTGGCAGTGACTCAAAATGAACACAGACACATTTTCCAAGTACTACCTCAAAATACTTTCCTTCCTTCACAACAGGGTTCTACAAATTATATAACTTTCCTATAAGACAGGTTCCAGAACTGTTTAAAATCAGAAATACTGGTCTAAGAACTAGGACACCTGGCCCTAATCTCCTCACTGCCACCAGCTGTGCGCGCCAGTAGCCAGACAAGTAACTTGACCGGGCTCCTTAAAGCAGCAGGTTTGGGAACTGGGGTTTGCAGTAACCCCACTGCACAACCCTAAACCTACCATTTCTGACCAAGGATAACCCAAGGACTGGTGTAAACACACAGTAGCTGGGGGGCCCAGGTGGTGGTGGGAGTGAGAGCTGGTATGTCATGTGTGTGGGGGGGGGGCACCTCACAAGCACAGAGTGAGGCCGTACAACAGAGAGGGTTTCTATCTAGAACCTGCGTTGCCCTGTGGGCAGGGGGCAGCCTCCCCTGACAGCACGTCCTCGGCCTCCTTCTCCTTTGAAAAGACAAATCCTCCATTGCCCTAGAGCATAAGGGTACACCCACCTGCCCACCAGGCGGCTCTGCTCTGGTTCTAGCTTCCCCCTCGTGGGAAGCAGGAAACAGCTCACTGCAGCATTTGGGGGGTGACCTGGGAACACAATCAACCCACAGGGGTTTCTCCAATTTAGGGAGGCAGAACTCAGCTTAGAGGGGTTTGCTGAGGTGACTGCCAGTGGTGGACAGGCCTGGGTTACCAACGTCACCCTGTAGGCTGGGCCCGTAGGTGTCAAGAGCAGGTATGGAATGGCCCATCCCTCAGGAGGCCCCCATACTGCACCCCCAGAACATACTGTGAGGCCAAGGTGACTTTTATAAAAAACAATTGGTAGAATTAAAGGTCTATTGCTTTTCTGAAATAGGGTCTCACTCTATCACCCAGGCTGCAATGCAGTGGGGTCAGGATAGCTCGCTGCAGCCTCAGACTCTAGGCCCTGAGATCCTCCTGCCTCAGCCTCTGGAGTGTCAGGACTACAGATGCCACCACACCTACATTAAAGGTTTATTTTTAAAAGAAAAATGAAAACCTCAGAAAATCAGTTTGAATGGAATCAACATGTAATTTCCAAAAGTATAAAACACTTATAAAAACTATTTCTTGACAAGACTATATATTCCATGACATTAAAAGCTTCATATGGACTCAGAACCTTAGAAGTGGAAGTATCTGAAGACACCCCAGGTGCCCCGGTAGCTTTGCTGGTTACTGTGTGAGAGGCATGCATGGCCCAGGAAGTCAACCCAAGGTGGGCTGCACAACCCACAGGCTCTGCCCAAGTGGGAGACAGGCTGGGAGGCTTGGCCCCTGCTCCTTGCCTGGGCACCAAGGCCCTGACCTCAGGTTGAGCCAGAGATGCCCACATCTGCCTCTGCCCGGCAAGTCCAGGGCACCGTGCTGTGAAATGAACCTAGACTCTCCCTTCTGTGGCCATGGGCAGAAGTTAAAAAATGCAACTGAAGGTGACAGTCAGCCTGCAGAGATTGATGTGTGGGGCCAGCAGGCAAGAGGCAGGCATGGGGCAGGCGGACTCTTTGTGGAGGAAGGAGCCTCCTTGATGCCCCTTCCTTGACCCCTCTAAAGCCCACCCTGGATTGCCCAGGGCCCGGGAACTCTAGGAGTGACACTTCCACTGAAAGGACCACCCTCAGGAATGCTGTCTGCAGGAGACAGGAGGCAGATGGAGCCAGGCTGTCCTCCTGACCCTGGATAAGACTGGAAGCCCAGCATCATGGGCCTGTGTACCCTTGTATGAGCGCAACCTTAGAAATCTCTGTAGAAACTCGACCCCACACACAGCATCACCCTGTGAGCACATTGAGACTCCATGTTTGCCCACGACCAGGGCTGAGCACAGACCAGCCTGCAATCTCCCATTCCATCCACTCACAGAGCTACCACAGCTTCAGAGTGCTATTAAAGAGCAATCAGACGACGGGTGTCCTGAAAAAGAAAGCACCATGATGCACTCAGCAGCTTCATGGGCCATGGCTGTCAGAGACATTTCCTTATCAGCATCAACACCCCATTTCCAGTGAGGTTGCCAGGCAGAAAGAAGGCAGCTGAGCCCCGCACAGCGCTAGGAGCAAGCTCTGCAGAACGGCCCGTGGGTCTGGGCAGGTATATGTCTGGCGGAGGGAAGCAGCAGGCAAGGCTCAGTGCATGCACAGCAGATAGCTGGGGGTCCTGTGGCCAGACCAGCCAGGCCTGTGGTGAACACCTCAGGCAACTCTCCACTGTTGCCTTGTCACTTTTATGTGGGACTGATCCAAGTAAAGTCACTATTGTTCCACTACAAATAGAAAAACAAATGAAAAACAGAATTCATAATGAAAAGAATTTATGAAGAAATTAAGAAGAAAAGAGAAGGAAGAAGAGAAGTTTACTTTCCACAGTTTGGTTAAAGGCAGCTGTATTTCCCAGCTACACGGCTGCTTAACCACTTTTTTTTTTTTTTTTTAAAACAGAGTCTCAAGCTGTTGCTCTCAGTAGAGTGCCGTGGTGTCACAGCTCATAGCAACCTCAAACTCTTGGGCTTAAGTGATTCTCTTGCCTCAGCCTCCCAAGTAGCTGGGACTACAGATGCCTACCACAACTCCCGGCTATTTTTTGTTGTTGCAGTTGTCATTGCTATTTTAGCTGGCCCAGGCTGGGTTTGAACCTGCCAGCCTTGGTGTATGCGGTTGGCGCCCTACCCACTGAGCTACAGGCGCTGCCCTGCCTAAACCATCTTTAACTCAACCATCATGTAAGAATGAATTTGTGTGCATCAGTTGCACGATGAAAGGGACACACCCCAGAAATGTGTCCTTAGGTGGCCTCATCACTGCAAGTCTTTCATTGCCCCTGTGAGTGCCTGGCGGGCACAGCATCCTGCACACTGAGCTCTGTGGCTCAGCCCGTGGCTCCAGAGCTGCTCAGCTGCAGTGCAGGGAACTATGCTGACACTGTAGGCCGCTGGGACCCATGGGGAAGTCCTCCTGTACCTGAACACATCCCAACACAGCAAGGGTGCAGTGTAAATAGGATATGACAACCTCAGGGTACCACCTTCACTTGTGTGGCCTGTCCTCACCCAATGCTGCTACACAGCCCAGGACTGTGGTTCTCCTCTTGAATCATCTACAGATTCATCTTAAAGAATAATTTTCATTATGAATACTGTTATTAGGCGCCAGCCACGTACACCTAAGGTGGCGGGTTCAAATCCCCAGCCCGGACCCGCCAAAGAACAATGAAGGCTGCAACCAAAAAATAGCCGGGCGTTGTGGCGGGCGCCTGTGGTCCCAGCTACTTGGGAGGCGGAGGCAGGAGACTCGCTGGAGCCCAGGAGTTGGAGGTTGCTGTGAGCTGTAATGCCACGGCACTCTACCCAGGGGGACAGCTTGAGGCTCTGTCTCCAAAAAAAAAAAAAAAAAAAACTGTTATTCAGACAACTAAGATTATTGGTTTTGAGTGGAAATTTCCAGCATGAATTTGGCAGGACACAAAAAAATGCCAATTTTTGTCTCTGGTTTAGAGAAAAGACCCAAACTGGGGCAATGTGTGAAGACCACAGCCACTGCAGCTGTGCTCCAGCCCACCCTGTACCACAGGGACCAGCCCTCCCCATCCTTCCCCCAGGGCAACTCAGAGTGGCCCTCAAAGAAGACTTCTCCACAAGCTGCCCCTGCCACGGGCCCCTGCTAAAGCACTAAGCATGGGGTGGATGATTGTGCACTTCAAACTCACCTTCAACTTAATTTGAATTTTTAAAAAGTGACATTCAAAACAACCAAGGAAACAGGTGGTTAACTATACATCCAAGGCCCACATGCTTTGTACAAAGGAGATCACGTGGCATGATCCCAAACACTTGAGACCTCTGAGACCAGCCTAGGAAACTGTATCAGTAACAGGGTGTATATATGCATTTTCCCCCCAGAAACTATCTAGCTTAATAATAAAATTAAATATATAATCTGGTATCCCATCCTCTCCTTTTTAAAAGAAAGATCATATTTTGAACATTTTAGCACTTTAAGAACAGCAATCACAGCATCATAGATTAGCAGATAAATCATTGTTTTCCACTGCTACACTCTGGGTTGTCTTGGGTCCTCTGCTGTTATAAGTACCAGTGACATGACACCCACATGATTAATGTCAGGGCCTACCCCTGCTGCTCTCCCTGGGGAACTGAGAGGGCCACTCACCAGCCACGCAGACTCTCCAACGTGAGTCCTGGTGCCAAAGCTGCATGTCTGTGTCCTCACCCAATACTCCAGCACACCATGCATGAATAACAAATACTTCTAAACCATCAGCGTAAAGTTTCTAGAAATGCCTAGACCTCCAAGCATCCCCTTGGCTTCTTCCCTTCATCTCACTGAAAACACGCAGGGCCCAGGTGACCACACAGCTGCTGGCAGGCAAACCTTACACCCTCAGCGAGGCTATCCGGGGGGACATTTGCTGCCATCAATATTGGCAAATGGCAAATGCCAGTCATTGTTCTTGGTGTTCAGTACAGGCAACAATAAAGAAAAACCTACTGACTTCATAAAGTAGGCTATGGGCTGTGAAAAGATCCCACGAGGGACAGTGTCATAACATACTGCACAGGACACACGTAGGGATACTGACCCACTAGCCAAAGGAACTGGGACATGTCCCTGCCCTGTCCTCAAGCCTGCTCACACAGAGTCACGCCCTGCTTGCCCCAAGCGCCTGTGGCTAGTCGGGCAGGCACAGAAGGTGGCTCCACTTGGCCTCAGGGCCCCTGAGTCACTGTTGCTGCC